CAATCGCTAACTAAAAGAGGAACCGCATAATGAAAGCACCGCTCGCTCAAAGCTTGAATCTATGTCTCCTAATCAAGTTTTGGAATCCTCCATTTATTCCTCTGGGATCTACAAAGATGAGAAAGTGTTTTTATATTGAATATAGAGATTCTTTAGTTCGTGAGTTACCCCATTTCTGGGAATAAGAACAGGATTTCGGTCTTTCCTCCACTTGGGTATCTAAAAAGCCGAGTTCGTTTTTGCTTTCTCAAAGCAGAGGGAGCGAAACCTCCAACGAAGCAAGCACTCAATTAGAAGTTGAGACACGCATTAGGTTCAAAGTCCATTCGATCATGCGCGGAAGACCTTCTCTTGTTACTAAAATAGGAAGAGGTCTTACTCAAATTGAGTAGATCCGGCGGAAAGATATGGTGGTTCCTCCCAGAGATTAGATATCCGGCCGTTCGCCACTCAGCTTTAGCTATTTTTGGTGTTCTGAACCTGTTGAATTGGATAACTGGACGATACGCCTAGGAATCTTGATTGTTAACCCGCGGGTGAACATCATCAGTCTACTTTCTTTCCTCGCTTACTTGCTTAAAAGCTTTTTACCCAATAGATTTGACCCAAGGGTCACTAAATTCTTTAAATTCCTCCAAAACTCTGAATCACCCCACGAAGCTACTTATTCTATTTTGCTTATTCACCGAGTCGTGAATCAACTCACGAGCCTCCTGGCCGATACCATAGGACATTGTCTTTTCTAAAGCTTCAAACTCAGGCTCATCCGCCGGGATCGCCCCTTCCTTCGATTTCGCATATTGAGAAAAGCCAGACCCAACTACCAGTTTCCGATGAAAGAAAAGGGGCTCCTAGCTTTGATTACTCATCCGCCAGAGACTACTAGGGAAGACGAACCACTTTTCTTTTTTGGATAAGATTTAGGCGCAAAAAGCTATTTTGCATTCAAGATATGTACTCCTATCCCGAAAGAAATGCACATAGTTTAAGCGTGTTCCACCCAAGAAAACGTGGTATGATATTCATGAAAGAAGAGTTCCGCTGTGTGATTATTGGAAAAGTGAAAAGAGCGGTTCGTCAGTCCATGCCCCGGATAAGTCCGTCGATCAAGCAAAAGTCGAGAAAGTCAGGCAGATCTTGAATGTTGATTTTCTGGCCATAAAAAGATGTTTGAAGGCCAGTTGGAGGCATGTCGTTGGTCATCAAAGCCAGTTTTAGGCATGATTTCATCAAGGTGGCTTTAGCAACCATAGATAGACTGAAGAGCCAAGCACCTAAATTCCTCTCTGGAGTGACCGGCGGGCTTATTTAGTTGTGGGGGTTCCATCCTTTGAGTTCCCTGTGGTCTTTTTATTCAATCTTTCCCACTTGAGCCTATTACTTAGGCTCATGGATCACCTTCCAAGTACCTGCTTTATTTATGTATTGCTCCAGGTTCCCCAGACGGGATATAAGGGACTTTCCCGAGCGAAGTGAACCACCCGAACCACGCGGACTGAATCTAAGTAATCTGCTCTGATTGGAATGGTTATTTCTGCTTATTGGCCTTTAAAGTAGTCTTTGTACCAGGTACACTGAACAAAAAAAAGATTTCGAGAAAGAGGCTATAAACCATTGAATTGTGTCGATTCGAGCTAGCTTCAGGTCTTCTTCAATCAGAAAGTCATGCCTTTTCACTATAGTAAGGGATTCGATCCATATCACAAAACATATATAAATCAAATATAGATGAGTAATTCAAAGTATATAGATGATGAAATCAAAGTCAGTCGTCTATCAGTTATGGAGTTGAGAGTCACCTTTGTTGCTTCTTTTGTCTCCTACGGTTATGCTAAGATATATTAAAATGTGCATTCAACCTATATTTCCCCTTTTCTATTGTACAGATGCCTATTCATTTCTGCGTAAAGCTCCCCCTTTCCTTTCTTCAAATATCTCATTTCTCAGTCTTGACTACTTCGGGCACGGCGCGCAACGGAACAGAAAATGAAAGCAAAGAAATCTAGCCTCGTATTCCAAATAATCGACCAAGGAATGAAGGGATCCGTTTTGATAGATCCCGTTTTGGCTTTCATATGGCAGATGGTCCGGTGCCTTTTCATATATGTAATGATGGCGCCCTAGGATTACACACCACGCAAGGCGGGCAAAGCCATTCAAATTTCACTACCTAACGGAGGAGCGTGATAACCTCTTTGTAATAAAGGAATTCATTCACCCTTTCCATCGGCTAGGAACAGTTGTTTGGATTGGACATACGTCACAGAAACAGAAAAGATTAACACTTCAAAGTGTACGGCTATCTCCCAGCCTCTGCTCCCTATCTAGTAGATGAAGAAGTGAGTCCATAAGGAATTAATTCATAGTAGAAAGGGGCGTACTTGACATAAACTAAAGCGCAAGGGAATTCAAATTTGAAGTTGAAAGTCAAGAACAAGAAAGGCTTCGGGCGAAGGTTAGACTAAAAAAGCTTTCCATTCCGTATATGCAGGATACTCTATTCCCAATACTTACATGAAAGCATGCTGCCAACTAGTATATTGATTTCGGCTAGTAGATTGATGAAGGTCGCTGATCCACTTGATAAAGTGTCGTATGCCATACCCATTTGTCCCCTTTTCTTCGATCAAGTCCTCCCAGAAAGTCCAGAAAGTAGTATAGGTCTAATTCAGATGTGGGGGCCTATCTCCGAAGCATAACGTGGAGCGTGGGGTAATTCAAGAGAAAGACTAACCCAAAGTCGTTTATCCAACGGCACGACCAGGATCCGAGCACTCGCTTTGGAACGCACTTCATAACAACGGACTTTGACACTTTTGCTGTCGAGATACGGGTCGTGAATAACCTTTTATTTGCTGTGATCTCGATCCTGTTCCGATTCGGATTTCCTTTTGTAGTGGATAGCATCCCCTTATTGTCTTCACTAGCGTTTTCTTTTTATGTCCCGGAGCAGTCGCCTTATTCAAAACTATAACGATTATAGCTGCTGTACAAGAAATAGATTATATTAGTAGTAAACTATAAGACTTTTGCTTCTAATATTGAAAATGAAGCTTCATCTCTTACCTGCGGATTTTAGTGCTTTTGAAGTGCATCTCGCGGCCAACAAGCTCTAGTGACTGCCTCGATCAAAAGCCCTTAACCTCCTTCCTATTTGAGGATGATACCCGGAACAATCCTAGATCAATGAAAGCAACCGAAGCATAGCAAGGGGAGCTTTAGCTTCTTCATCATGTCATTCTTCTGCTAGATGAGCCCATAAGCAATCGTAGGGCTTCCAAGCCCGACTATACTAGATTGGACCCTTCTGTATCTACTCTACAGAAAATAACCATCCCTTCTTCTCGAATATGTATTCTCGAATATGTACTCTTATTTCATAGAAATGAACCATCTCGCCTTTCTCTACGCTGCCCGGTTCGTCAGGAAGGTAGACAATTACCACATAATAAGCAAGCAAGGCCTCATCCTCGGGTAGCATTCATCGGTGGTAGGGTGGCGTCCCTGAAATAATAACTCTTTAATAGGCACCGCCTCGTCGAAGAAAGATATCTATTGAGTATGTTCGCGATTCCTCTTCTTTACTCCTCCTTACTTGAAGATTGAACCTCAAAACTCTTTTATTTCGACCTCTATTAAGCTAGTTTTACAGGGTGATCCTGACTAAACCAAAGTACCGTGACTCAAGGGGCATGATCGCAAGGCCGAATCTTTTAATGTAGGGACTTCACCAGACCCGAACTTATCCTCTTAACTATGAGTCGCCATCTTCAATTTTCTTTGTAGCCGATATCTTTCCTCCGCACCTACAAGGAGCTATATGCACCTCTTGTCTAATTGATCACAAGTCAAGGAAGAAGAATCTCTGGCTGATCCAAGGGAATTTCGTACATTGTATTCATTTGTCTTTGTCAAGCATCCTGACATAAAGGGAACCGTCTACTGGCAAGCGAAGTCATCTCGACGATGTAGCACTCTACTAATACCATAATCTTTAGTCGGAATTTTGTGAAAGAAAGAAAGGGCGCTCCCACATACTACTAAAAGCTCCAGCTCGGGCAATAATCCTCTCCACTCAAAAAGAAAGGGACTACTATCGAATTACCGATCGAAAATAATCATCAACCTATCACTTCGCGGTCGCACACTCTCCTCCCCTAACCCCAGCATTAGATCACTACGAACTAAATCCATTTCATTTTCAGTCTTATTTATTATAAGGGGACACCTGAAGTATGCTATTTTATGGGGCTTGGACCATCCTAGGGCGAGCGACTAGATCTATTGATCTATACCCATTACCTACTCTGTGATAGATCGAGCGTACTCTTCCATCTTGTATAGGTAGGTGTGACAGCACGCATTGGTCTATTTAGATTCCGTCGTGCTTCCAACCGCTAATCAGGGGCTCCCGACAAGATTAAAATCTTTGAAACTGGAGAGTTATAACTTGACCCCTTTTTCTTCTAGGAAGAGGAAAGCCCTTTCATTATGTGCTGAGTCCGGCAACCTTCGTAACAAACAACCTGGGATTGGCCAGATCTTGAACTTCTCAATCGGCTCTCTACGAACCCAAAATACCAAGTTTCCCCTCTCCTAGAGGATGGCAATTACAAAACTTTGACTACTCAACCGCGGTGGACTACTACATGATAAAAGCTTTGCTAAGGTTCGAATCAATAGACCTGTATAAAACTTATACTACGAAAATACTACACAAAAGAAAGTGGCTCAGCCAGGCAGAAACAAGTGAACCAGAATAAAGAAAAAACTGCTTCAAGCGCATCTGTACGTATAGTAGTACTTTAGAAAGCACATCTACCGGCACGTAAAGAAATAAAAGAAAGCTATTGGAATCTCGATAATTGAACGAAGAAGCTTAGAAATTTCGACGAACGTCCAGAAATGAAGCAAAATCCCTTGTATTAGACCATGTCTCCGGAAACTGCTTTATTATTCTACCGATCTGGGCTGTCCAATCCGTTTCATTCAAATCCTCTTCATAGGTTTTTGGCTCTATAAACGAAAACACTTTCAAGTAACACCTCTGCTGTTCTGTACACTTCTATAGTTATACTCATGAATCTATAAACTGAACATAGGGATTGCCCTCCCCGGTGAAACAAGAAGCATCTTGCTCTACGTTTAGGTAGCTCATGGTTAAGTGAAGTGCGACTAGCCAAGCTTGGTTTAACAGACAAAGCACCTTTCTTATTGTACCTCCATAAGGATGTATTGTAGGTAGCAGCGCCGGACCGAGCTGTTGAGTGAACTCTTTGAATAACAGACTCGCGGGGCGCTTGCCTAGTAGTGAAAACCCTCAAAACAGCATATTTCATCAACTGCTTACCCAGATATCTGCGTATCCGCATAAGGGGAAAGCTATAGTAATCCTTCCCTTACTCAAGTACTTCCCATCTGCTGAATATAAAATATCCGTAAAGTGAACCTGTTCTTATTTGAATTCCAGGGTCTTTTTTTATTCGGAATGCCCGAGTAGTTGAAATTTGTGGGTAATAGCATATTACCATAAAGCATTTTGTAATGGATTAGCGACCAGCAGGCGCTGAAGTACTCGCTTCAAAGTCTTTCTTGGATATTTCTCTATTTAGTATCTCCCTTTAGATTCTTTGTGAATTGATTGTCCAGTCTCATCCTGAGGAAGGAAAGGAGAGTTTAAGGTCTAGTAAATCTGGATTTAAAGTGAAGAAGAACGCAAATCAAATTCTTGTTAAAGGTCCGATGTTTACGATTTGTTGTGGTTAATCTTCCCAATTGACTAAGTGCAAGTTAGAACATGGTAGCTTCTGATTCACGGCCAATGAGACGGAGCTTGCGAGCGGAACTCTTTTTGGCATCATTCGCAGTGAGAGAAGAGAGCATACGCAGTGAAGAAGGGAGCTTATATTTTAAAGTATATTAAAGGTATTATAAAATCAAGATTATCCCGACGTGAGCAATCACGCTGGAATAGAATAGATGACTTCTATGGCTTTCTTTGAAGAATTTTCGTCTCTTAATCCAGTTTTTCATACTTTATTATTTTATTGATCGGGAGGTTCGACGTAGTTGACCTTTCTTTTCACACTGTTGGGGGAACTCCCGTCTATCGATACGGGGTTACATATTCTTTTTATGGGAAAGCTTCTAGCTACCGAAAAGGATCCGAGCCATCTTCTAGAATAAAAGAACATCGAAGAAAGGTAGCACTGGAAGGGCGGAGTACTAAATCCTTTTTTTTTCTTTGTGCAAGTAATGATCGTGTCAGCATCTTTTGGTTAACTGATTCAGTTACCGATCAATCTGGCCCTAGGTTCCCTAGCTCCAACGCAGAAGGCCTCTCATTTCGTCCAGATCTTTGCGGCATCTCCAACTGCAAGCTCTGATGGACCAACCTACTACTTATGCATGCGATTTCAAGTCTTCATAAATGAGAAAGGTCGAGTCATTACACAAGCAAAGGATACCTATAACGAGAAAAAGGGCTTTTATTTTGCTAATCCCAAGGGGACTGCTTCCTAATGAAAGTCATTACTCTGCTAATCTTAAAAGAAAAGGGCTACTTCCTGATTCATTCCACATTTCACATTCCCCTGGGGTACCACCTTTGCTACTCGTAGATTGAAAAAATGCTGTCAGCTTCGCAGCCGGGCGCTTTCCCACTTCCTTTTTCGCTTTGCGCTTCACTACTAGTCCTAAGGCATCTTAAACACGAAAGACAAAGACGTTTATGCGCTTAGAACGTGGCGTGCTATTCTACATTTCGTGCCTATCGTATCTATCCCCTACTTCGGGAGACTAAGCAAAGATAACATATTGAAAGGATTGAACTTATCGAACGAGGCCTATTCAACTACAGGAATTTCTTCTGGTTCGCTACTTAGATTATTGGATTGGACCGAAACCGGCCCATTATAAAGTTGGGGGTGAGCTACTTACTTACTTTACTTTCTTCCTTGTGGGAATGGCCGATTCACTACTCCCTCGAACTGTCTTATCACTTTCCTGGTTCACAACTAGCTCTATTTTCTCTTTCTCCTTTGGCTTTCAACACTAGAACAGTTCCTTCAAAGGAAAGAAGGCATTTTTTTGATTCTTTCTTCGGGCAAAAAGTCGACGTGAGGCACCACGGTTGGATTCTCCAACTTTTGCAAATGAACCCCGTTCAAGTTCCATCCCAACTGTCTCATCTTGAGAAAGGGCAATATGGCAATATTTATTAGGTCAATCAGGCTTCGCGCCTTCCCTTCCCCGTGGTTTAATCGGAGTAACCGCGTAAGACATATTCTTTGGCAAAGCAAGCTCACTGCCTTAATTTAGGAGTGAAAGAGCCCGAACAGCTTTTATTGCACCAAGAGCGGGAACTCAGACAGCGTATGAGTGGCTCGGATCTAGCTAGACTGCTCGCTAGGCCCCTTGCCTCTCTTTAAGCATCAAAATAGGAGATCTTTGGGTCTCGGCTATCACTTTACTTTCCTTAGTTTCAAAGGATTGAAGAAGCTGACTCTCACAGCGGTTAGTGATTCAATCACACCGGATAGGGGAATTCTAAGAGCGTCAAGGCTTAGAGCTTCTTCTCAAGCTGCCTATTTTGTGCGTGGGTTAACTATTGATTCAATTGCGCAAAGAAGCCTAGTTGTCCTAAGAGCTGATTCGGGAACTGCTTCAATTCCAAGAGGAGCGCTTACTCTTGCAGCTTTTTCTTTCACAACTCTTTCTATCACAACCGATTTTTCCTCATACGGATCTAAGCTCTCGCAAGTGCCTTCCCTTCCTTCTTGCCTATTCGATAGGAGCTTGCATTCTCTGGGGGAGTTCTTTTATATTAAAGAATAGTTGGCATCAGTGTTATCAGTGCATCTATGAATCCAACCTTCCCTCACAGTGGGAAGGGATAAACGCCGATTCCTCCTTGCAATGGTTATTTCGGATTCTGTAAGAGCGAATTCTATGGTACAAAAAGGCTATGAAGATTGCCTTTACACCTTCAAGCTTGAAGGTTCGCTAAAGCAGTTCGGTGATTGCAAAGTACTCAATCAGGCCCTATCTCCTACGCTACCATCTGTCTTCTATTATAAAATGGATAGTTAGAGGGAATTAGAGATAAAAAGAACTCCTAAAAGAAAAGCACGCATGAGAAAGTATACGATAGCACCATCTCTTCCCACTACGCCTAAGAAGGAAAAGAAAGGAAAGGACAGACAGCAGGGAAGGAGATTCTTTGAAAGCCTACTACTCTTTGGCCCCTTGGCTAGCTTGCTTGCATGGAATGAATAGGCTTGCTGACTGGCTTACCTACTTGAACTATCCAGCATAAAGCAGAGATGCCATACTCTTCTTTCGTGCACTATGCTTAAGACATAGAATTCGAAGAAAGAAATAAAGACATTTGCAATTGGCTAGGACAGTTCCCTACACGGGCGAATTCCGACACTCACTGTACTCCCCACAGCTTTCGCCTACTGAGCTTGGGCTGGTAAGCTCCGGGGCCAGTCTCCTTCCCCTGTTATCCTCCCCCCCGCTTCCTATAGTACTTTCCTTTGGCTTGGAAGGCAGCCACTTATTATGGAATGACATATATAATGATGATGGTAGCTATCTGCCTAGCCTCTGGTACATCTTATATGAAGATTAATGGCCGTCCTTAACAGATGACTTACATTGTAGAGAAAGGTTTATCTAACTAGTGTGGGAGTTTGGCTGACCACCCTGCTTTCTGACGCTTTCTCGACGGTAGGCACCCAACGTCGCCAAACAAATTAGCCTCTCCTTCTTCCTCAATAGCTGCCTTAGTTTAGTCTTTGGTTGGTGTGCGACTATGAGCTTCTGGGCCTGTACGATTTCCTGTCCGAAAAGGCAATCCTCTACAGGAAGGGCCAATGGCTACGTCCCGCCGGTTCGTCTACCCGGACACCGTGCACTCCCGCAGCATCCCATAATTACATATTATGGTTGAGTCTAAACTCTTGCGCTCACTTAGCTAGGGCTTAGTCTCGACGGGAACCTCCCATCTTGGGTAAGGGGCGATGGAGTGAGCCCTACTAGTCTCACTCTCCCCCTACGCTTTTGTGGGCTTCGGGAGCTCTGTCTTCTCCCCTTTCCTTTTGCTTTGGCTTTTTGCCTTATCTCGTGCAAATGAAATAATAGGAGAAAAGAGTTTTACATCTCTCTCTCTTTCTCTCTGATTTTTCCATTGCCAAAATACCCTTGCTCTTCAATTGTCGTAGGTAACGTTCGAAATCACCGATGTCGAGTTCAAGCGGAGTAGCTTACGGACCTCGGAACCTCGCTGTTCTGGGTTCATAAGTGACTCTAGAACGCTATGTTCCGCGGCTAGCCGGCTAGCTTCCCTTCCAGGCGGTAGCCATTCCGTCGGAGGTAGGACGTATTTCGAAAGGCCTAGAACAAGGAGAATTCTAAGGCCCCTAGAATCGCATCAGTACAAGAAGGCGGACGTTGATGGCTGTGTACGTCAGATGGCGATCCCCTATCTGCCCGGAAGAAGATTACTATAATCAGTAAGGAAAAGAGGTTCATAAGGTTTGCCACTAGGGGAGAGAGCTACTACTTCACTTTCTTGATTTGAGACCCAGATCATAGAGGAAAATGGGCTGTTTGACGGAAGGCATAGCGCTAGTCCTCTTACGGATAGATGGGACTAGGACCGATATCATGCTATTCTAGAGATAGATAGGCGAACAACGACAAGGAAATCCCAAGCTATGAATGTTCTAATGTTTGCGTCTTTGAAGCTTGTTCCTTTCCCACCCACCCTCCATCTTTACTTCTTTGAGTGTGAAGCACATGTTGGCATTCCAAGCTCCTTAAAACTCTATGACCTACTAAATCTTTCTTCCTTCTAATTCTCGTCCTGCTTTTTCAGTTCTTAAACGAATGAGATCGTGGGAGCTGTGAATATAGAATTCGTTTTCTTCTTTAACTCTTTATCTTATAGTTCACCTTAAATTAAAGCACTTCCAGTAAAATAAGGAAGACTCACTTGGGCTCTTATAATCATTGCAGGGTTCGCTCGAGTAGAATCATATCCAATCTTCCTGCTAAGCCAATCCCCAGTACAAGCAACTAAATCCAGTTCATTCCCAAGGAAAAGGGCTAACTGAATTCCCCTTCTCGAGTGAGAGTTCGGTCCGCAAGCTTCATGCTTCCTTCATGCCCTACCTTCACGCTCTACTTACTTAATGCTTTCCTTACTTCTCTTCTTTCCTTCGCTCCCCGGGTCATTTGTTTGATTTTCCCGTCTTTTTCGTCTAAAGTCATCTTTCACTCGGAAACGGACATGGAAATTTTGCATTTTCGCGTTTTATCGGTATTTTCGTCC